CTAACATGCTTTCATTGCACCTGTCACCATGTCACTCTGACATGCATTTATATGCACGGCGCTACATTTGGCCATGAATTAGTGGATATGGACAAAGCCTATATTTAGAATGCTTTTCATGTAATCAGCCACCATCCAGCCATCTTATAGACAGATATAGGAAGGGGAAGCAGGGAGGTGATTCCCAGTGGATTAATTATACCTCCACTGATCATCTGCTTTATTTATTTTTTATTTATTTTTTGCTGTAACTAGTATAATAAGTGTCAGATTAGGATGGCTGGAACATGCCGGTCTTTCTACTCCTCGTTCTCGCTGCTTTCTGTGAAGCTTGTTTGAGAGGTTTCCCAAAGCAGGAAGATGTGAAGACGCATAAAGCAGGCAGGAAAACGCCGTGTGGCAGTGATGCACGATTAGTTAACACATGACATGTTTACAAGAACGATTTAAAGTGAGCAGCTTCATTTTGTGTTTTTTTAATCATGTTTGTCTGTAATTTTTAAAAATCAATTTACTGTTATTTTACAGATTTTCCCAGTTTTGTTAAATTACACATATTATAACTACTAAAATCACTTTAATTTTTAAACTTTTTATATTTGTCTTATTATCTTGTTTTATTTTTTTCAAATAATATTTATTGTATTTTATTTCATTCTTTTCTTTCTGTAGTTATTTTACTTTATTTCATTTTTTAAATTGTCCTATTTCTATTATTCCTACAAATTCCTGGGGCGACACCAACAGCCGAAACCAAATTCCTTGTACGTTGTGTACGTACTTGGCCATTAAAGCTGATTCTGATTCTGATTCTGATCTGACCATAAAATTACACAATTTATTTGCTGTATTTGAATCTACAAGATATATTGATATTTTACAGATATTTGCTATAATTTAAAAGTAAAATTATGTATATTTAGGCTTTAAAAATACTGATAACAGATTCTTCTTGTGTTGTTAAATTATAAATATCCAGTTAAATCACAAAAAGGTATTAATTTACATGCTGTTTGATGTGTTTTAATCAATTTTTTTTAACAAATGGATGCTGTAATTTGAAGGACGATTGTGTATATTTAGGATTGTTTTCTTTTATTACAGACACTTTCCATTATTATCACTGCTTTTGTGGTATTTGCATGCTACAGTTATTCCATCATTATTCAACTCGTCGTTTTTCTGCCTCCCTTGCAGCCAGATTTTCATCGTTTTTCTTTTTTTCTTTTTCTTTTCTTTCCAAAGCGGTTTGTCTTTTAGGAGCGCAGAGGAAAAGCACCGCTGTGATCTTGTGTTGTGAAATGCTCAGTTCTACAAAATGCTAATGTACGCCGCTGCTTCACCTCCTCTGCAGGGAACCTGGGCCGCGTTGACTACATCAGTGAGTTTGAGTTTGACCTCTTCATCCGTCCTGACACCTGCAACCCCCGCTTCAGAGTGTGGTTCAACTTCACCGTGGAGAACGTCCGGGAGACACAGGTCAGCATGCTGCGGTCTGGTGTTGCGCTGCTAGTCATCATGTCTTACATAAACAAACACCGGCTGCGTCTCCGTTCGCCCTGCTTGTTAACTCATTCGCCGCCTTTCAACAGACAGAAAACTAGCGCGCACAGTGAGGAGTAAATTGGAGATTTTACTCATGAATCATTGTCATTTCGCATCATCACTGACATTTACACAACCGTAATTTTACACCGCAGAAAAAAGCCACTGTAAACTCCAAGTGTCTGCCCTAATATTATAGACACCTTATCAAAAATACATTAATCTACTGAGTGCTTTGATAGATACAGGCCCGGAGGAAATACGCTGGTGTTCCTGTGAATGCAGCCTGAGATGCTGCCTTAAGATTATAAATAATTCTGAAAACTGTTTATATTAATGTTCCTGCCTAATTCTTATCTCTTGCGTGCAAAAAAACGAATTTGTTAAACCGTTTCAGAGCTTCAGTAACGTGATATTAGACGCTGTGCTGCCATTTCAGCGTCGCTCGTGAGCAGCGCCTTTTTGAAAGCTGCTCAATGTCAACGAGGCTTTGGTGAGCAGGAAATGTCACTGGAGTGAAATAACGTTATGTTTCAGGCAGGTTGCGCTTTCATGCAGCCATTCGTCTGCACCGCAAATTGCCCCTGAACGTCCTCTGCCACATTTGTGCCCACAACACCACCAAAGCTGAGGGTGTCTTCTGTTTCTTTCCTCACCTCTTGTCACAGCTCCTGAACTTGATTCTGCCACTGGCGAGCTCAGAGCCTGTGATTGGCTGACGGAGGTGGTCACATGCCACAGAGATACACTGCATGTGGGTACAGTGAGTGTGGCTTCAGGGGGGATGGAGACTTGTTCTTTCATTTGAATATAACGTCGCGAGATAAAAAAGAAGAAGGTAAAACTGACAATATTGGCATTTACGTTCGACTGCTGCAGTGTAATTTGTGTGCGGCGCAGCAGCGCTTGTCAGGTTTGGGGAGAAAAAAAAATCAGAGATAAAGTGGAGGGAGAGAGACAGCCGAATTTAAAGACAGAGGTGGTAAGATAGAAAGATGGAAGGAGAAGATGAGAGTGAGAAAAAAGCAAATAGAAAGTGACAGCGAACGAAGAAAACGGGGGAAAAAAACAAAAGGCAGAAAACAGCGAGGATGAATCCACATCGCGCTGTTGCTGCTGTCTTCCTGTAGAGTGTCCAGCCCAGCCTATCTGAGGCTATCAGGCCTATCAGCCCATCTCCCTGCAGTGCTGTAGTCAGCACTAATCACATTTTATGGCACTGAGATGAATGGGAGGCCTCGGCTTGGAGCTGGATCGATCCCAGGGCCAGATAGACCAGCACCAGCAGCCTGCAGCCCGGGCCAACAGGATATTTGCTGTTGTGGCAAAATGACAGAAAGAGTGTGAGAAAGACAGAGAGAAAATGACGGTGGAGAGAAATGTAGCACTGTGATGAGTAAAGATTTAGAAATATCATGTATAGGAGCACACTGTGTAAACAGAGGTGCATGCAAGAGGAAGTCCACAGGTGACAAAAACAGGTGAACAACTATTGCTGTTGCTCCTCCACACTCTCTATCTATAGCCCCCCATACAAGCTTTTTCATAGAAAACAGTTTCTTATCTGTCCAATTTCCTTCTTCAAAAAGGTCTTGTGTGAATTTAATCTACTCCAGTGGAAGGTGTTGTGGTTAAGTGCTGCCTGTGCATTTTGCCAAGGTGTGTGTATACGTGTATACAGACGCCGTGATTAGATTGTGTCTGTGCGCCCCGAATCATCAGAATCCACATAAATCTTTAGCTTACACCCTAATGGTTGTAATATTGTTGTGATATGAAACAAAAAAAAAAATAAAGCAGAGAAATTAAATAGACAAAGAATAATAGCATGAATAAATAAACCAACTAAGTGTAGCTACAGTACGGGGGAGAGGCTGCGCTATAGAGATATCAGTGGGTTCCAGGGAAGAACTGGGCTGTTGGAGTGTTTCATCCAGCTAAGCCTTGCTAACTCTCAGCCTGAGCCAAGGGAATGGGGAACAGTAAAAGCCCGTGATATTGGAAGTGAGATGGCCATTTTGAAGGAATGTAAGCTGGTGAAACAGATTTGGTCTGCCTCAATCAGCTTAGCAGCTTTGTGGAAATTGGCTTCACCGTAGCACCGGTTATGATGGATGGCTGGATGGATGAATGTCTCTTTTTTGTATATCCTTCCTTTTTTTTGTGTGTTTATCGAACCACTCACTTACCTCAAAAAGCTAAGACCAATTCTGGTTGGTTGCAGTGACCCGGACCATGTGACCGTTTGAGGTGTTTTTTTTTTTTTGCTTGGTTTTGCTGATTTTCTGTAGGAAAATAAAAACACATTGAACATAATGATGGCTCTGAATTTTGACCTTGAAAATAAAGGTCTGTCAGCGCAATGCAGTGGGGTGTTTGTGTTTGTAAGTCCACCCACCACGTCTGTGTTTTGCATTTTCATGGTACAAAATCTGTTTAACGTTTGACTGACATTTATAGATTGATGTGACAACGCTTCTACATTAGTCATTTATTATAAGGTATGTGTTATTTTGAGTCAAACATGTTTAGAAACAAACCTTTACTGGTATCTGAGTTTTAGGCAGATGTGTTTTAAGTCACTTCTTTGAAATTTGGTACAGACTAGAGGTGGTAATAATTGTTGTTGATCGATTAATTGCAGCTAATAATTAAATTGATAAAAATATATGCAGAAAACGTACATTAGCTGCAGTCCCTGATTGTGCCACTAGGTGGAGCCTCTCACTGTTGGAAAACTGCAGTTCGTTATGTATGCGTTGGCGATAACAAAGGACCACGGGAATGTTAATGTTCACAGACAAGCTGTTAATTGAGTAGTATTGTGATTGTTGTTTCGGTTCTGCAGGGTTCTCGCCAGCGTTATAACAGAGTAACGGCTACGTTACGTTACACTGCCTGAAAGAATTACGCCGCAAATTGGGCCGTTACGCTGTTTTTGAGGGTACGTAACGGGAAACAATAAGCACCGATGGAGTTTCTCTACCGTCGTCTTCGCTGCTAATCGCTAGTGTATTTGTTCTGTTGTGTTTGAATTTTGATTGTTGTCAGTGGGTAAAGTGGTTTACGGTGTTCGTGTGGTCGAGAGCAGTTTGGGAGTTTAGCCAGCGATGAGCCAGCGATGGGCCACCATGACAGAGACTTATGTAAAGGTTAGTGGCTTCTAGAAATGAAATGAATGAAAAATATTTTATCTATCCCAGAAGGGAAATTCAATCAATCAATCAATTGAATTTCCCATATTCAGACCAACCTAACTTTGGTAGAATACCCAAAGCTGTGAGGTGTTGGAAATGCTTGAGCAAGTTAAATTGTTGGTGTTAGGTTTCTGTCGTGTTAATTGTTCAATAACTGTGCAGGTGAAGAAATGACTAATTGACACATACCATGCAGCTCAAAATGCTCTGTGTTTACTTCATTTGTTCCTGAAATTTCTACCGTCAGCAAGCTGATGTTATGGCAAAGGGCAAGTTTCTGTGGTTAGAAATGGTGATATCAGAATATGCAGTAAGCTAAACTGTATTTAATTCTTTTGAATGATTTTTTAATTATTAATTGTTAACAGCTGGTTAAATACACTGTGTAAAATTTGTTTATGTTTCCGATAGAAAGACCAAATACCTGCTAAGCTAACAACAGTCTCTTCATCATGGGGACGTTTTAGCATGCTAACATGCTAAATTAAGATGCTGAAACAAAAAACTGTTGTAGTTTTTTTGGTGCAATATCGACACATGCATAGCTGTGAATTAGGAATATTTTGTACATTTAAAAAGTAAAATCTGTGCAATACATATTTCTTCTACATATACTAGAATCTACATCTGTCTATATTAATCTATCAGTACTTATTTCCGTCCAGATGAATTTGGACAATCTGAACCAGTAATTGTCTAGATTTTTAATTTGTTTTTTAAACATATTTCTACTGATATTTCTTAAATGTTTGCACATCTTTGCTGCGATAATGCAAATTTCTCCACCATGGAATTAATGGAGGGTTCACATATTATATGCATTACATCTGCTGAAGGAAATGCATGTTGGAATGCAGCTCAAAACACTTCTAGCATGGCTCTTTATGCTTACTGACTTGACAAATTAGGGGCATTAAGTCTCACAATTACCGCTGACTAATTTATTAATCAAACTGTCCTTTCAGCGCTACCTAACACATGTTTCTTATCATATTTCTGTAGTGTTTCCCAGTTCTGTGGAGAGAGAGAGAGAGAGGGGTGTGAGTCCAGAGCTTCCTTGGCACGAGTGTTTGGAGTGACTGCAGGGCTCGTGCCAGAATACATCAGAATACAAGATATGAGAGATTGGTGCTGCTGACTTTGTTTTCATCAGTAATCTTCACCTCATTCAACACTGTGGAAAACTCGTTAAGACGGAGCACATCAGGTGCAGGAGTGGAGGAAGAGAAAGCAGAAGAGGGATATTACTGTAATAGCAGAGATGAAATTAGGTTGTTCATGGCGCTCTGATGTATGAAGCCATAAATTATATCCTTTCCCGCTTACTTTGAGCCAAACTGCAAGAAGTCATCACCCTCTACAAAAAAAAAAAAAAGTTTCGCATCCTGTGTCCAAACCGAGCGAATTTCAGTTTGACACGCGAGTTCCAGCTGCCGCCATTTCATTCGGGCTTCTGCCGATGTTATGATCAGAAACCAGTGGGCGAGTTGATATGACACCCCATTGAGTAAGTTGATATGCCTTTCCATTCTGCTGTAGGGGTGTGCTTGATGTCAGGTTCCGTGAAGGGCACGGCTGTGAGCTATTATCATAGGAGCCTTCAGGGAGCCATTCATAGAAGACAGGCAGTAAAACCTTGCACCGAGCGCCTTCAACTCCTCCAACTGCTGCAGGGGTGATTTGTAAGCCTCACTTGTCCAGGGAAAGCACAGCGTAGGGCAGTTACTCTCCATAATC